TGTTGGTAATATTTGGGAAGTACAGTCTGTAAATTGCACTGGTTAAAGTCGCCTGCAGCGATAAATACAGCATCGGGGTGTGCTGATGACATCATAGAGTTTACTGAGAGCCGCAGAGGGATTAGCTCTTGGGCTAACATACACAGCAGCTAAAAACAGTAAATAGTGATGTTGAGAGCAACCACGCAGCATGTGGCGTACCTGACTGTTTATCCAGGGTTTCTGGTTGGGAAACCTCCTGACTTGTATGGTGGGCACAATGTTGTTGATACAGGTACTAATGTATCCAGTCACATACTCAGCATAATCCTGTACGCTGACAGAAAAGTTCCTTGAGGTTGCTGCAGCTTTGAACACATCCCAGTCTGTCTGGGTGAAACAGTCCTGCAGGGTGCCTTCAGTCTCTGGGGTCCAGAGTTTAATTTGTTTGGTGACAGGGTTTGTTTGTTTCAGTCTTTGTCTGTAAGCTGGATACAGGAACAAAGAAATGTGGTCAGAGCGTCTAGGGTGGGGGCGGGGTGCAGCCCTGTATGCTCCCCGTATGTTACTGTAAACATGATCCAGAGTGTTCTTGCCCTGGGTGGGAATGTTCACATTTTGGTAATATTTGGGAAGTACAGTCCGTAAATTGCACTGGTTAAAGTCACCTGCAGTGATAAATACAGCATCGGGGTGCGCTGTCTCTAGCGCGCTGATGACATCATATACTTTGCTGAGAGCCGCAGAAGGATTAGCTCTTGTGCTAACACAGCAGCCAGAAACACAGCACTATGCTCTCCTGCCAGATAATAGGGCCGGCATTTCAGCAATAAAAACTCTACATCTGGCAAACAGTGCTTATAAACAGTACGTACATCTCCATACCAAGAGTTATTGATAAACACACACACTGCCTCCTTTTACCTTCCCCGAAGCAGCAGTGCAGTCTCCCCAATGTACAGAGTGAGTCTCGAGCTGAATCACCGAATCCGGGACTTTGTCAGAAAGCCGAGTCTCGGTGAGAATTCGAGCACAACATTCTCTGATTTCCCATTGTGTTGAAATCCTAGCTCTTAGCTCATCCAATTTGTTTTCCAGAGACTGTACATTAGCTAGGAAGAGCTCTGTAATGGCGGTCAGGTAGCGCGAGCTTTTAGCCTAGCTGTTCTGGGGTCCGCCTGCTCACTCGTGCCTGGTGCTTCCGGGGCTCCCCAGGGGTGATAGCGGTGGTTGTTGTTGGTGCGGGAGCGAAGAATGAGTTGTAGCTCCAGTGGTATGAAACCAGTAAATTCCCAGTGGCAGCATGAGCTGGCGATATCCAGCAATGCCTGTCTGTTGTATGACAGCAGTGCATGACATTTGTGCACTGCATAAAGAGTACAAAACACACAAAAAGAAGAAAATAAAGAAAAAGCCGGCATTCAGGAGTGGAACGCGCAAACACGTCTGCCTCGGTGGGTGCCATGTTTGGTTGCCTACAAGTACAGATGGCCACTTACTCTTACAAGCGCTTCATTTTAACAATTGCATAATTAATTAAATTCTACCCAAGCCACCACTGCTATAAGAGGAATGTGACAGCTATATTCATTAATGTAAATGACACAGCTATGGGCCTTAGTGGTGCTCTTTTCCAGAAACACTTACTATTAACCAGCACACACAGAAACAGAATGGTTCTGCTTGTTAATTGGTACACTTTGTTAAAATGGAAACATGTGGAACAAGCTATTGAATGTTTTGTTGTTCATTTCCCTACTCTACACGTCCTGTACACAAGCGTAGATACTGTGCACTCATCTTCCAGAGGTCATTTGATTCACCATCTGTGCTGGTGCTACAAATACAGGCCAGTGCTTGGCCTCTCTCCTTTCTTGGACACTAAGGAGATTATCCTTGGTAAGTGTGCAGGCTTTCCCAGGCTAGAACCTGGGATAGATGGGGATCATGACACACAGACTGTGGGTGGGGGGGTTACAGGACTACCAGTGAATGCTATCACAATTGTCCTGTATCCCTGTAGTTCTTGTTTCTCAGCTCAAACTAGTGATAATGGCAACAGAGAAGGACACAGTCTACATATTTCTTTTACAACAGTTACAACAGTAACTTTGTTTCACTACTGTAATTGTGTTGGAAATAAAATGCAGTGAGTATAACCTTCACTTTTTAGGACAGTAGTATTCAGAGTTCATGTTTATGGAGCTCGTGTTTTTATTGTTTGTTTGATTGTTAACAGCATAACTCAAAAAGTAATGAACTGATTTTAATGAAATTCTTTAGCGAGGTAGGGTATGGCCCATGGAACAGTTGTTTACATTTTGGTGCTGATCGTTGTCATAATTTGTTTACAGGAATATTTTAAATTATTATTCACCATTGTTAGTGCTGCAGTCTCCGTGGCGCACACAGTGTTTTCCTTATAATCCTGTAAAGTCTAGACCTTATTATTATGTAAATTGCCCCAAGATGATTATTGTTATGAATTGGCACTACATATATAAAATTGAATTGAATTGCTTTCAAACTAATAAAGTGTGATAGTAAATTGAATATCTCTGGGTTTTGGACTGTTGGTTAATGAACATGAACACTGAATTGATCAAATCATTAATCAAGTAAATAATTAGCGTAGAGTAATTGACACTTGGGTCTATAGACTGCATAAAGGTTTCCTCTTTTAACCTGGCTGGTTTAGAATAGCTTTATTTCTATTTTTCCAGAAAACGTGTCCTTGTGTAGGGCCACATGATGCACATTTTAAATATATCAGATTTAGGCTGGTAAGATGGCTGGATGTTTAGTAATTTAGCACAAATACTGTATATTTAATGGATCTTTAATTATCCTGGCCATTTACTTTGAAAGCATATCATAGATAGAGATAAAAAAAAACATTTTGAACACATCATGGTTTTCTTCTAGGATGGTACTTTAACACTGTACCTTCTCTTTCTGTCTTGTTTCCGATGGCAGGGGTCTGGGTTACGACACTGGCGCCAAGAAGAAGAAAAAGAAGCAGAAAAAGAAGAAGAAGTCTGGTGCTACTGAAGCAGCTAGGGACTCCCTTGCCAAGGCACTAATTTCCTTTTTTTTTTTTTTTTTTTTTTTTGTAAAAGAGTAGCACATTTTAGATTTAAGTGTCATCCATCCAAAATATACAAAACAAAAATTCTAGTTCTGCTGCGATTGTCACCGTGGTTTAAAGTAAAGGCTGTGAAACACCTTTGAATTTATAACAATTTCTTGTAATAATCCACAGAAACATTTTCACTTTGTACTTTTCACTTTGACTTTCTACTAATGTATGACTTAAATGACTTAAAATATAACAATCGGGAAGAGAAAATGATGTTTTATTTGGGTGAACTGATCCTTTTAATAGTGTCGGTGTCTGTCTGTATTCCTCTTATTAAAATGCTGTTCTTCTTTACTTTCCAAACAGGTGAATTCTTTGCCAGCCGATAAGCTACAGGAGATCCAAAAGGCCATTGAACTGTTCTCTGTAGGCCAAGGCCCTGCCAAAACCATGGAGGAGGCGAGTCGGAGGACTTACCAGTTCTGGGACACACAACCTGTGCCCAAGCTAGGTGTGACATTTGACAGGGCTTTCACTTCTTTAAAGCTCAGAACCCACAAACAGATGAATTTCATGTGTCCCTGGTATCTTTGCTCCATGTCAAACTGTTTTGTTTTCCTTCAGGGGAGACGGTTACATCACATGGCTCTATTGAACCTGACAAAGACAACATTCGAGAGGAGCCCTACAGCCTCCCACAGGGCTTCAGCTGGGACACCCTCGATCTGGGGAACCCTGCCGTGGTAAGAAAATGTACAAGCACAACACAGTCATCCTAGTGATGCAGAGGTGGAGCTCAACCCTATTGCTGAGACATACAAACTTGATTTGGAGATGAAAACTATAATCGAAAAGGAAACAAAGTTGTAGCTCAAGTACAGAAATAAATGATTTCCTCAAGTTTCTGTGTGTGTATGTTATGAGTTATATTAACTGTTGTGTTAAAAAATAATTTCCCACATAAACAGGTAGGCTCATAGACTTTACATAATGCTACAGTATATGTACTATAATATTTTTTTCTTTTGGTAATATTAGTTTGCCTTTGGTACCACTTAGAGGATTTAACATTCAAAATAAACTGGTTTTCTGAACATACTGTTTATTTATTACAGTAGTCTTAAGCTTATTCACATTACAGTGGAAAAACTGGTTTTGCACTGCATGATCTGTGCTTGTCAGCACAAACTCCAGAAAGTCTTAGGGGCACTGTACAATGATGTGCCTTCTTAGCTACAATGCTAATGTCGCTGGCAGTAGATCACTGTGTTTTCGAGGCTCAAACTGTTTTATTTAAACAACCTTGGTAGCAGCACTTGCGTGCTGATGTTTAACTAGCTAAATAGGTTGTCTATCTTTGTCTGATTTCAATATGACGATCCTGTTATTGTGCACTTTATGAAATTCAGAAACACTGGTTACATGCTGTAAACTGAGATTCTACGATTATGGGCGCAGTCATGGCAAAATAGATCACATGTCAGTTCAAGCAGTGATTGGCTACGCGGGCAAAAGTAAACGCAACCGAGATCAGAGTTCATCAAATTTGGATTTTCAGTGCACCCTGCTCTTTGCTGTGCACTGCGGACGTTCACGTAGAGCGTGTGTGATGCACCATATACACGACAATGGCGAAGTGCGAGGAAAAAGCAGTTTTTCCGTTGTAATGTGAACGCGCCATTATGTTTTTAAAGTCATGACTTAATGTCAGATTCTGCCTAAAACTAGCTCAAGGAGCTTTACACCCTTCTCAATGAGAACTATGTGGAGGATGACGACAACATGTTCAGATTTGACTACTCCCCTGACTTCCTGCTATGGTAATGATTTTTTTTTTTTTTTTTCTCAGATAGAGGTGATGGTATCATAGTAAACTGTTACTCAGCTGACTGACCTGACATTTTCTCTCAGGGCTCTACGCCCCCCTGGCTGGTTGCCTCAGTGGCATTGTGGAGTGAGGGTCAACTCCAACCAGAAGCTGGTGGGCTTCATCAGTGCCATTCCTGCCACCATTCGCATCTATGACATGTAAGTTAACACAGCAGGACATTATAGAAATATATTGTAATAAATCAAATAAATGTCATGCTACAAGAAATAAGTAAATGTATATTTCTGTTTAAAAGTTGTATTCAGTATTATCATAAATGTTTTTTTTATAATTTGCTGTCGTTATATATAGAATAATTTGCCATGTGCAATAACTGATGTTGTCTTGTGTTTTTAGAGAAAAGAAAATGGTTGAGATCAACTTCCTCTGTGTCCATAAGAAGCTTCGCTCCAAACGCGTTGCTCCGGTTCTCATCAGAGAAATCACCAGACGGGTCAACCTGCAGGGCATCTTTCAGGCTGTGTACACTGCTGGAGTGGTACTGCCCAAACCTGTTGGCACATGCAGGTGGGTCTGACAGAGAAACAATCTTTCTTTTTCTTCTTTTCCAGTGTTAATCAGTACTCAGCTGATCGTATTTCTTTGCACAGGTACTGGCATCGCTCTTTGAACCCACGCAAACTGATCGAGGTGAAGTTCTCCCACCTGAGCAGGAACATGACTATGCAGCGCACCATGAAGTTGTACCGTCTGTCTGAGGTTGATGAAAACACACATTTACAATATGTCTATAACAAGGACTTCTTCCATAACGCCTTTATTCTTGTCTTCCCCGTCCTCTCTCCTCCAGGCCCCAAAAACTACAGGTCTGAGGCCAATGACTAAGAAGGATGTGCCAATTGTGCACCGCCTCCTCCACGAATACCTGAGCCAGTTTAACTTGGTGCCTGTCATGAACCAGGAAGAGGTGGAACACTGGCTCCTACCCCGGGAGAACATTATCGACACATACCTGGTGGAGGTAAATAATATGTCAAAGTTTTATCAGATACGCTGTCTTCAAACCATCCTTCTGGTGTGGTGTTCGCTGAGAGGTGTCATAAAAGTCAGTGTTGTTCTCTTGACAGAACGATGGAAAGATGACAGATTTCCTGAGTTTCTACACACTGCCATCTACCATCATGAACCACCCTGTGCATCGCAGTCTAAAAGCAGCATACTCCTTCTACAATGTGCACACCACCACCCCTCTGCTCGACCTGATGTCTGATGCCCTCATCCTGGCCAAGTCGGTATGTTCCTCTTCAATCAGTGCATTCGTGTCCTGTTAAATGTTTACTCTCAGGAAACTAATGAATTTTTTTCTTCTTTATCCAGAAAGGGTTCGATGTCTTCAATGCACTGGATCTAATGGAAAACAAAACTTTTTTGGAGAAGCTTAAGTTCGGCATTGGTGATGGGAACCTACAGTATTATCTGTACAATTGGAAGTGTCCCAGTATGGGGGCCGAAAAGGTATTTTTCTTCTGGGATGAGCTATTTTTACAATGGCAGTGGTCTACCTCAGGGTTTCTGGAGATGATGAAGTCTGGGGGGGGAAAGCACTGAATTCACTTTCCTCAAATAGGGCCTTGCAAGAGATTAAAGTTTAAAATTTCATTTACAGCACTATTAAATACTTCCTTTTGCCTGGTGTAGTTGTAAAACTTTTCATGGTGGTGGACATTAGACACAGAAATGGAGTTGTTTTAATAGTGGGATGTGTTCCAGGAGATGATTTTGTTCTTGTGAGGATTTGGTCAGCAGTCGGATAAATACTACCTTACGCTACATTAACATGGAAGCCCATTGCTTTACTGTTGGCAGGTGTCAGCTTTAGCAAAGAAATTTAAATGAATTTAGAATTTTTCATTGGTTAATCCATTCACGTTTTTTCTGATACAGTATATTTAGCTATATCAGTAGGAATTATTATCTCACACTGCTAGGAAGAACTGAAAAGTAAAATGATAAATAATTCTAGCCTGTCTCTACTGGGTTTCTGTCACACTTTGGCCGGTTTGACCATGAGAGACGTATTAAAGTGTATTCTGTGTGCTATTAAAAAGTCTTGAGTGTAACCCTGAAGAAACCCTGTGACCTTAAGTTTCCCCACAATCCATGTAACCTAACAGCTCTGCCTTCTTCTGTCTCAGGTTGGGTTGGTGCTGCAGTGACATCCTTTACGCCATAAATAAGTGTCATCCACGGGTCAGGAGACCATACCATCGCGCTGACCACCTGACAGATGGGAGTTATGACTTCAGGAAAGGAAAGCCCACCGCCCATTTTTACTTTTTGACCTTTTGAAGTTTGACCTGCACTACTGCTGCCAGGCGGGGGGGGGGCCGGGGAGAGTCTTCAGCTCTTCCTCCTCACTCAGTCACATGGACCTTAAGCCGTTGTAGTTACCATCACAAACTACCATATGAAATCTGAGAGCTGTCTTGATTATACCAAACACACACACAAGAACGGTTTGTACAGATCACTGTATACCAAACACTCACTGCTGGCATACCTACGATGCATGTAAATAATATCAAACATAACTGCAGGTTATTCCCTGACACATACAGACTAGAACTTACGGTTTTATTCCTAAATGTTGGAAGTGCTTTTTGCAATTAAAATAAATCTGTCATCCTTACGTTTTAGAGAAAAAAAAAATCAATGATCAAGAAATATTTTAAAGAGGACAAGGCTCAAAAGATGAGGTAATAAATACCAAAAGTGGACACCAGTTAAGGGCTTTGTTAAGAATTATCTTCTCATGCTTGATCTAGTGTCATTTTTATTTTTCTCATCACACTCTATGTTCTACCAGTCAGTATGGAGATGTGTCAGCACTGCTAGAAGATGATGTGTATATGCCAGATTCGGTCGCCTTCTGGAAGTCTTGTCATCTTTATTAACATTCATGACCCTCTCCCCCACTAACTGAAGAAGCCGAGAAAGAAACGGACTAATCCTGCTGGACCAGCTCAGTTGGAAATGAATTCAAATCATTTTGGACGAGCTTGGGACTGCTGCTGACGAATGGAAGGCGTTCTGGTGGGGTTTACTCAACCTGCTGATCAGCAGGGATCAAATTTGTAATGACACTTGATTTAATCATGCTCCAGTTTCAATGTTCACCCTTCTGAACTGTTACTTTGATATAGTGTATGATCCCCAGAGGTCTTCAATGGCTTATGTCAAAATTAGAAACTGAAAGCAAAGACCTTTTGAGCTCATGATGCAGGTTTTCCTTGAGGAAATCACACAGGAAGTCTTAAAAATTGTCTTAAAATACGTGCTTACTGTCCTATATGCCCTCTGGTGTGCAGGGCAGGACCACCACTCCTGTCTGTTGTGGGCCAGTCTCTGAATAGGACCCCAGGTGTGTTTCCAAAAAAAAAGTTCTAATAAAAGGCACCCACCAAAAAAAAAAAAGATCTGGCAACTACTTTACACACACACAGAGCAAACATGTCAGGCTCTTTGTGTGTTTTTTATTTTATGAACTCTAAAAACATGAGAACAAACATTACTTTAAACAAACTTGAAAGACTGTCAAGGGTACCTTTCACCTTGGACAGCATCCAACGCCATACACTGATCACATGATACACATCATTTCAAGTCTGTGTTCAGGATAGATGTTGGAGCTGGGCGCATGATCAGCAGGCAGGACATTGTGCAGGGTGGGTGGTGATGATGACTGAGGAAATGCTCCCACTTAAAGTGTTTCTTATGTAAATTGTTGGTCTGTTTGCAAACGGATGTAACACAACAATGGGTCTCAAGATGTTTTAATGCAGGAAACAAATGTGAAGATGCAGGTGATTTTTGTTTTTACTCACTGAGCAAAAAAATAAAATCTAGAAGTTCCATCTATTATGTACACCGCATATCTTGAGGAGGGTCGCGGGACTGGAGCCGAGTCCAGCTGCCATTGCAAATCGTATGTCTTATCTGCTTTAAGTGTTTATTTAATATACCCTTGATAGGATATAAATTATATTAAATTTTGCTTACTTAATATGCGGAAAAATTTTAATCTTGATTTACACAAGTATGCACGATTATGAGACAATGCGGCACTAGACACAGAGACCACGTCTGATTATTACTTAACCATCAGTATAACCATAACAAGTGACCATGCCCTACAAAGATGTGGTATTTAGAAAATAAAAAACTGTGTGGGCTACACCCTGGACAGGTCACTTGGAGACAGACAACACACAAACCCACAGCCACTTTAGTGTCACCGATCATCATAAGCCACATCTCTTTGGACTGTGGGAGGAAGCCAGAGTAACTGGAGAAAACCCACACAAGCACAGGGAGAACACGCAAACTCTGCACAGACACCCGACTGGCCAGGGCAACGAACGCTAAACCTTCTTGCTGTGAGGGGACAGTACTAACCACTGCATCACCATCCTCCCCAACCTGGAAGTTGCTTTGAGGTTTTTGCATATTTTGTCAAAGGTACAGTATCCTTAAGTCAATTAAAATGTGCCTGGGGGATCAAGAGGTTAGGGGCCCCTGGACATATGGGCGGTGCTTTATCATGGACGTGTAAATGGTGTGTAAAACGACTGAGTTTAGGGTCAGATTCACATTTGGTCTTTAAACTTTGTGTGGCGATTATTTTTGTTGCTTTGGTGATAGTACTATTAAACTGTCTTCAGCAGCTCTGGGCCCAATTCGTCTGTTGTTATTCCAGCTTCTCTAACCTAGTAACGCCGTGGGTACAATGTAGGTAATGTGTACCCTCGTGTCCTGCGCCACAGCCTACACTGTAGTGCTTCACATTATGTCACATTAGCAGTAACCAGAGCTTTCTAATGGATTGACAAACATACTCATTAGTCATCAAACTCATTTTTATTGATTTTGTTTTAAGGCCTCCTGGTTAAATGAAAACATATATGTTCACTAGCCTGTTATTGTGTTTGTACAGATTGAGTACATTGATGCTGGAACCCCCATCACAAATGCATACTACCTTGGAGCAGCCAAAGGTGAAATCTACGGAGCAGATCATTGCATTTCCCGGTTCAGCCCTGAACTCGGTGCTACAGTGAGACCTCAGACTCCACTGAAGAACCTCTATCTGACAGGTCAGTCTGTCCGCACTGTGTAGCTTATTATCAAGCCAGTGTTGTGAGGTTGTTTTTATTTCCTTCACAGCATCCTCTGTATTTCACAAGTCAGGATGTGTTTCTGTATGCTCCCACCTGTGGCTCAGCCATACTCAACCGCAGCCTCTTTCTAGATGGTGCTGCCCTGGCATAGAAGTCAAAATTGATTAATGGCAAACCGAAAGGGGAGTAACAGTCTGACAACATTCAGCTGAGTGGCTGCTATATAGTGTAATTAACCATTAAGTGTTTTTGCACTTAACTCTATGCCTAATTGTTTAATATGCAGAGGTGGAAAGTAACTAACTACATTTACTCAAGTATTTTCATTTTCTGCCACTTCATACTTGCATTTTAGAGGGAAATATTGTACTTTTTCCTCTACTACATATATTGGATAACTTTAGTTACTAGTCACTTTACAGAATCAGATTAACCCCACAAAATACAGTAAGAGTTTATTGATCCAAGTAGGAAATTCAAAAGATACCCACCAGTACTTCAGATTACAAGTATAAAAGGTAGTTTATTTAGCTCCACCATTACCAGCTGCAACATTAAAGTGATGAACACTATAATGCATCTATAATGCATCAATAATTATAATAAAATAATATGATATACATCAATCTAAAATGTGCCATTCTACATGATGAGTACTTTTACTTTTGGTACTTTCAGTATATTTTGATGCAAATACTTTTGTACTTTTACTTAAGTAAAATTTTGCATCTGGGTGCTCCAGATGCTTCCTCCTACAGTCCAAAGACATGCAGCTTAGGTTGAATGGCAATTCTAAATTGCTCTCAGCAGTGTGTGTGGTTGTTTGTTTACATGTCAGCCATTGTCAGCTGGGATTGGCTCCAGCCCCTTCAAGACCCTGCTCAGGAATAGATAATGGATGGATGGATGGACTTTTACTTGTAACAGAGTATTTTTACATTGCGGTATTGCTACTTTTACTTTTACTTTTAGTTCTTCCACCGCTGTCAATTTGTTTCATTTGCACTTTGTAGCAAGTTTACAAAAACCTTGCTAGTTGATAATAAAGGGTACAAAAATCATTTGGCTTTGCTCTATGGTGTGCTGTGTATATTTTGCACATTGTTTTCTCAACAGGTAATAAAGTATTTCTGTATTGATTGATTATTCACAGTTTTTTATTTTCTAAATACCACATCTTTGTAGGACATGGTCACTTGTTATGGTTATACTGATGGTTGTTAAGTAATAACCAGACGTGGTCTCTGTGTCTAGTGCCGCATTGTCTCATAATCGTGCATACTTGTGTAAATCAAGATTAAAATTTTTCCGCATATTAAGTATGCAAAAATTTAATACCATTTATATCCTATCAAGGGTATATTAAATAAACACTTAAAGCAGATAAGACATAGGATTTGCAAAAATGAACCCTAGTTCGTTTCGAAAACGTTACGTTAGTATTACTGACTGTAGATCATGTTGGCAATCCTGACAAAATTGATTATTTTTGTACGTATTTTAATTATAATATTTTTAGTTTTATGCTTTTTAAAAATCGCTGAGATTACATAGACCATTTTTTCAATGAACCCGTCAAACACTAAAGCATCGTGGTTTTCGTCGCTTTGCTCTTTTTTAAAAACGAGGCGTCGATTGGTTGAAATTGTCTGACGCGTAGCGAAGAAAGGCTGTAATTGGTTGGTGCCTTGATTGTGTTTGTACAGATTGAGTACATTGATGCTGGAACCCCCATCACAAATGCATACTACCTTGGAGCAGCCAAAGGTGAAATCTACGGAGCAGATCATTGCATTTCCCGGTTCAGCCCTGAACTCGGTGCTACAGTGAGACCTCAGACTCCACTGAAGAACCTCTATCTGACAGGTCAGTCTGTCCGCACTGTGTAGCTTATTATCAAGCCAGTGTTGTGAGGTTGTTTTTATTTCCTTCACAGCATCCTCTGTATTTCACAAGTCAGGATGTGTTTCTGTATGCTCCCACCTGTGGCTCAGCCATACTCAACCGCAGCCTCTTTCTAGATGGTGTTGCCCTGGCAAAGAAGTCAAAATTGATTAATGGCAAACCGAAAGGGGAGTAACAGTCTGACAACATTCAGCTGAGTGGCTGCTATATAGTGTAATTAACCATTAAGTGTTTTTGCACTTAACTCTATGCCTAATTGTTTAATATGCAGAGGTGGAAAGTAACTAACTACATTTACTCAAGTATTTTCATTTTCTGCCACTTCATACTTGCATTTTAGAGGGAAATATTGTACTTTTTCCTCTACTACATATATTGGATAACTTTAGTTACTAGTCACTTTACAGAATCAGATTAACCCCACAAAATACAGTAAGAGTTTATTGATCCAAGTAGGAAATTCAAAAGATACCCACCAGTACTTCAGATTACAAGTATAAAAGGTAGTTTATTTAGCTCCACCATTACCAGCTGCAACATTAAAGTGATGAACACTATAATGCATCTATAATGCATCAATAATTATAATAAAATAATATGATATACATCAATCTAAAATGTGCCATTCTACATGATGAGTACTTTTACTTTTGGTACTTTCAGTATATTTTGATGCAAATACTTTTGTACTTTTACTTAAGTAAAATTTTGCATCTGGGTGCTCCAGATGCTTCCTCCTACAGTCCAAAGACATGCAGCTTAGGTTGAATGGCAATTCTAAATTGCTCTCAGCAGTGTGTGTGGTTGTTTGTTTACATGTCAGCCATTGTCAGCTGGGATTGGCTCCAGCCCCTTCAAGACCCTGCTCAGGAATAGATAATGGATGGATGGATGGACTTTTACTTGTAACAGAGTATTTTTACATTGCGGTATTGCTACTTTTACTTTTACTTTTAGTTCTTCCACCGCTGTCAATTTGTTTCATTTGCACTTTGTAGCAAGTTTACAAAAACCTTGCTAGTTGATAATAAAGGGTACAAAAATCATTTGGCTTTGCTCTATGGTGTGCTGTGTATATTTTGCACATTGTTTTCTCAACAGGTAATAAAGTATTTCTGTATTGATTGATTATTCACAGTTTTTTATTTTCTAAATACCACATCTTTGTAGGACATGGTCACTTGTTATGGTTATACTGATGGTTGTTAAGTAATAACCAGACGTGGTCTCTGTGTCTAGTGCCGCATTGTCTCATAATCGTGCATACTTGTGTAAATCAAGATTAAAATTTTTCCGCATATTAAGTATGCAAAAATTTAATACCATTTATATCCTATCGAGGGTATATTAAATAAACACTTAAAGCAGATAAGACATAGGATTTGCAAAAATGAACCCTAGTTCGTTTCGAAAACGTTACGTTAGTATTACTGACTGTAGATCATGTTGGCAATCCTGACAAAATTGATTATTTTTGTACGTATTTTAATTATAATATTTTTAGTTTTATGCTTTTTAAAAATCGCTGAGATTACATAGACCATTTTTTCAATGAACCTGTCAAACACTAAAGCATCGTGGTTTTCGTCGCTTTGCTCTTTTTTAAAAACGAGGCGTCGATTGGTTGAAATTGTCTGACGCGTAGCGAAGAAAGGCTGTAATTGGTTGGTGCCTTGACAAGGAAGTAAATAGTTTGACAAAAGTAGGATTAGAGCGTTAGATCGGTCAGATTCATACTTGTTTTATAAACAACCACAATGATGATTGTTGTGGGGATTGTTGTTGTGGCTTTGGCCATATTTCTATTAAAATATGTCTTCAGCAGCTCTGGGCCCAATCCTTTCGAGATAGATACTCGAGAATCGTTGAAGAAGAGGGTTTATGACAAGAAAGAGAAAAAGAAAGTGCTGAAACAAGGTTCGTTGAATAATCATTTTCGTTATTTACGTTGTTTGACTTAGTTTTGTTTGACTGAAATTCATCCAAATAATAACGTGTTGACATATAAAGGGGATGTGTTCACTAAAAACAGCAGATAAGGTGATGTTTACCTTGTTTATGCAAAACGCAGATTTTCAGATGAGCGCGTGTGCAAAAAACAGCAGATAAGGTGATGTTTACCCTGTTTATGCAAAACGCAGATTTTGGTACGTGTGGTTTTTGAGGTCGAGAGACCATGATTAAATGAATTAAAAATAAATATCAAGGAAAGCATTATAAAGGTAAGAGGGAATAAGATGGTGACAGGTAGAGTTCATGTTGAAATTAATATAAAATTATGTGTATGAATTGAACTATTATATTATAAGATATATTTGCAAAGAAATTTCCCACTTTATCACCCAAACTCATCTTTTCTTGCTCATACAGTAAACATTTTTTCTCATCCCACAATCCTTAGGTTTATTGTTTTGTCCTCTGTCATGCTGTTGTTTGAATGTGTTTTTGTCCTTCTTTAGGTTTCATGGCCAGTAAAGTACCTGACAACATAGATGCCATTGTCATTGGCAGTGGGATTGGTGGGCTTGGACTCGCAGTGTTGCTGGCCAAAGTTGGAAAGAAAGTCCTGGTTCTGGAGCAGCATGATCGGGCCGGAGGATGCTGCCACACGTTCACTGAGAAAGGCTTTGAGTTTGATGTTGGTAAGAAGGATGGCTATAGTGTCTTTATTTATTTACCAATATATCATATCTAAAATCTTGCAAAGGCTGGTTCTGGCAGGCTATGAAATACAGAATTGTATGTCCTGGGGAATAAAAACGACTTTTTTCCCAATGAAAAGATTTAAAAATATGTTTCATTCAAGGTGAGAGATGAAAGTCTTTGTTTTGGTTTTGTCCACATATTGTCTTCCTTCCTTTCCTCAGGAATCCACTACGTGGGGAACCTGCAGGATCATGAGCCGTTCCGCTGCATGTTAGATCAGATGACTAATGGACAGCTGCAGTGGGAACCTCTGGAGAATCCGTTTGACCATGTAGTTCTTGGACCTCCAGAAAACCGCCGCCATTACCCCATCTACAGCGGCAGGACCCGCTTTGCCGAGGAGCTGAATAAGTGTTTCCCTGGAGAGGAGAAGGCCATTGATGAGTACATTAAACTGGCTGTGGTAGGATTTTTTTGCATTACAGATTGTGATCAGGTGGTTTAGAGTATCAGGCTGAAATGCTGCTTGTCTGCAGCTTCAGTGCAAACACTTATTTTCTTATGAAGGCCCTTTATTTGCTTATTTAGATGTGCAAACATCTTTGTTCCTACAGCACAGTGCTATGCAACTGTGCTGATGGTGTCACTAATATTCCTCTAGGGCTCAAAGCTCAAATGAAATGTCTAAGTATTTGGAAAGGTCTTCTATAACTAAAACACTACATCATTTTATTCTCATCCAGAGTTGTATTAGCAATTTGCTTTGACATGCAGATAAAGGAAAGTCATTTTCTTTATCTGTGTGGAGTTACTTTAGTTCATCTGTTCATTTTTTCATTATTTTTTGTTCTTTATTGACTCATAGCAGTTTTCAAGAAGTAACTTCCAGGTGCAATAAAACAAAAACAAGGAGAAACAAAAAGTAACTAGCATTACCACCTTGTTGTATGTCTCTGCTCACCAGTCAAGGTTACAGGAATGGGACAGTCATCCTTGATTTTGAGTGGATATTTGTGACTGGTTGATGGAGGCAGAAAATATATTTTACTGTATAGTCTGTAGGATGAAATCACACAGAAAGTGAGTGTTGTTTGTGTCTTTGTCAGTCTGTTATAGCTGTCTGTGTGCCTTGTCTTTTGTCTCCAGAAAACTGCATGTGGCATTTGGTTCCTCGCTCTATTGAAGCTCTGCCCTGTCACCATAGCCAAGTTCCTGATCTATACTGGTCTAGTCAAACATCTGTCCTCCTTTTTTCACATGGCGCCCCGCAGTGTGAAAGAAGTGGTCACTCAGCTAACAGAGAACAAGGACCTCCAGGCTGTCTTCACCTACATTTTTGGCACCTACGGTAGGCCCTGGCTGCAGTTCTGTTGGAGTTATCACATTATTTCATCAGTATTCAGCTCATAGTCTTGGTTTTCTTCTTTGGACTGCAGGTAACATACCAAAAGATGGCAGTTTTGCTATGCACAGCTTGTTAGTCAATCACTACCTAAATGGGGCCTGGTACCCTAAAGGTGGAGCCAGTGAAATTGCCTACCATATGATTCCCATTATTGAGAAAGCTGGTGGTGCTGTTCTAGTTCGAGCCCCAGTCCACCGTATCTTGTTCAATGAGGCCAAGGAAGCTTATGGTTGGTGTGATTTCATCAGTTTCTCTATCACCAATCCCAGCATGCAGCTCCCACAGGGACAAGATTCATTGTGGTTGATTGTTATTGTGATTTCAGGGGTGAGTGTCATGAAAGGTCAGGAGGAAATACAAATCCGTGCACCTATGGTCATTTCTGATGCTGGTATCTTCAACACCTACCAGAAGCTGCTGCCTAAAGACCTCCAGGCCACGCCAGGTTGGAGAGAAATTTGTGCTGCAACAAAGGAATATTTTCATTACTGATTTAGTTTTTTCAATAAATTTTTTACATATTTTGTCTATGAAAATGTCTCAGAGCCCAAAGTGATATATTGAACCCAAAGATATTCATTTTACAACTAGACAGCACTCAGAGAGTGCAAACCTCTGCCATAGGGAAACTCAGCTTCCTCATAATGCCATAAAAGCAAGATTATTGCTTTACCATGAAAACCCACTGCTGGACTTTGAAATGATGCTCATAGCAATATTAGTTTGAAAGTTGTTCAAGAAAAGACAAAGACTGGTATAAACATAACCCCCCCACCCTTGGCAGAGGTAATTATATAAACTAGAGAGAAGAAGTTGGAACTTGGGAGTATTTGGTGGCTTTGCTGGAAATATAAATTAACCCTCAGTGCAATACCTGTGTATATATACATTGTACAGATTATATAGAGGTCTCTAGTTTTAAGTACTCTATTTTTATCCCTATTTATCTCATTTCAATGAACATTCCTTTGTTGTCTGCATTGTTACTGTCTATTTATACTGCATTTTCTGCATTGTTTGCACTGTTTGTTGATGTTAATACCGCTATTTTGTTATATTACACAGCCTTATGCTGGTTTACTGTTTTGCACATTGAGAGCTGATGTACCTGAGTCAAATTCCTTGTGTGTCCATCACACCTGGCCAATAAAGCTGATTCTGATTCTTCTGATTATGACAGTGGAACAGTATATGGACCTTTGGGCTTAGAAGTTGTTGTCCATTAATTATCTGTTGTAGTTGTAGCCTGAGTACTAGAGGAAATGACTTTTAAATGGAGTTCAACAGGAAAAAAGACATTCATTTTTTTTAAGGTTAGTTTCTTAAATGTTTGTTGTGTGAGTTGTCGTGTATGACGTGATGCTCCTGCCTTACAGCCATCCAGAAGCAGCTAAGTATGATGAAGAGAGGTGAAGGCTGTCTGAGTGCTTTTCTCGGTCTGACTGGAACCAAGGAGGAGCTGGGCCTGAAGGCAGACAACTACTGGATCTTTGCCGAGAACAATTTTGAGGAATTGTATGTTGTCTTGAATCTTATTATTCTTATTTGATCTGTGTGTGTAGACCTAATGAGACGGGGTGTATGATATGTATGAGGGGGATAAAATACAGTGATTGTAGAGATTCTAGCCACAGCAAAAATACAACGATTGTGTAAGAAATCATGTAGATTGCATCTTCCAAATCAATTTGACTGGTCAATCACTTACTGAGTTCAAATACACTTTACTCATAATGGAAATGTGAGTGGTGCAGGTTTACTGTCCAGCAGTTAGTTATATGCTGTCGGGAATGTAGCCTTAAGCTTTTGAAGCCATCTGAAATGCTTCAGTCTTTTGCAGGATGGAGAACTATATGAATGGAAAGAGAGAAGAGTCTGCCAAAAACATCCCTTTTCTGTTTGTCGCCTCTCCATCAGCTAAAGATTCTACATGGGCAGAAAGATCACCAGGTAAATGTGAAGCAGCATGTCAGCTTTTCCTCCACCACTAACAGTACTATGCTGAAGCTTAGTTCATGCATTGGATTCTGTGCAGTATAGAAAGCCAGTTGTCTGTATTGTCTAGTTTTTTTATTTAACGCCAGCACTCTTATTTTTAATTTACACTAGGCAAGTCCACCATAAGTGTGGTCAGCTTTGCTAAGTACGAGTGGTTTGAGGAGTGGAAGGACGAAAAAGTGACAAACAGAGGGGCGGACTACAAAGAGCTGAAACAGGCTTTCATTGACTCGATTCTGGAGGTGATTATGGATGTCTTCCCTAAGATAACCAGAGACAAGGTAAAGTTTGTGTTTGCTGTGTGACATGCTTGTTGTGACTAACTCTGGTCATAGTCATATAATCACAGAGCACTGAGATTTATCACAGACAGTAAAGCTGTTATCACTCATCATTGTTCTTGCTATGTTCAGGTCATTTTATCCTTGTTAACCTGACACACACATGCTACAGCATAAAGCCTTTCCTGGATGACACCCACCATATCTAAGTAAATCCATTCACCAATACATGCATGAACAGTTATGCTTTTTGTTTTCAGGACTCAGTTTTAGTAACGATTTGACTGGACCCAGTAAAATAGGATGTATGTCCTGAAATCTTTTGCAAAGTTAGTTCACTCTGAATTTAAAGGTGCATTAAAGCTATAGTCAGAAATTCTAGCAAAAGAATGTTTACATTATGATCACCAAGTACACAGATCCACAAGTCATTTCAGTTAGGATCTTGTGCTAATTGGCAGAAATTAGTCAGCATGACTCCGATCCTTTTTTCACCTATAATAGAGCGAGCACAGCCACCTGGGGTTTGTGGAGCACACAAACTGAACACACACAGAACTGGGCAGAACTATCTCCACTATCTTATCTCAGTGACTGTGGGACATGACGCGATGTGTCTCAGCTTCTGTTGTTATTCCAGCTTCTCTAACCTAGTAACGCCGTGGGTACAATGTAGGTAATGTGTACCCTCGTGTCCTGCGCCACAGCCTACACTGTAGTGCTTCACATTATGTCACATTAGCAGTAACCAGAGCTTTCTAATGGATTGACAAACATACTCATTAGTCATCAAACTCATTTTTATTGATTTTGTTTTAAGGCCTCCTGGTTAAATGAAAACATATATGTTCACTAGCCTGTTATTGTGTTTGTACAGATTGAGTACATTGATGCTGGAACCCCCATCACAAATGCATACTACCTTGGAGCAGCCAAAGGTGAAATCTACGGAGCAGATCATTGCATTTCCCGGTTCAGCCCTGAACTCAGTGCTACAGTGAGACCTCAGACTCCACTGAAGAACCTCTATCTGACAGGTCAGTCTGTCCGCACTGTGTAGCTTATTATCAAGCCAGTGTTGTGAGGTTGTCTTTATTTCCTTCACAGCATCCTCTACATTCCAGTCTCTTATGTATTTGCATCACAGGTCAGGATGTGTTTCTGTGTGGCTTCGCCGGTGCTCTCGCTGGAGCTCTCACCTGTGGCTCAGCCATACTCAACCGCAGCCTCTTTCTAGATGGTGTTGCCCTGGCAAAGAAGTCAAAATTGATTAATGGCAAACCGAAAGGGGAGTAACAGTCTGACAACATTCAGCTGAGTGGCTGCTATATAGTGTAATTAATCAATCTAAATCCCTGCAGTTGATATTAAAGGGTACAAAAATAATTTGGATGCTCTTTGATCTCTGGCATCCTGTGTATATTGTTCACCATTTTTCCTCAGTATGCAATAAATAATATCTGTTGATTCACCCTTTTTCTGCAACATGGTAACTTGTAATGATTAGTCACTGTTTACAAGTGGTTTAACTTTAAAAGCTTATATCTCAATACATAAATCACTATTGCTTTGAGAGTTGTTACAACGGTGTAAACGCAATATTTGTAAGCTAACTTGGAAAACAACGATTTCTGTAACAATAAACATTTCTGGTTGTTTTGCTTATGTGCCGTGGACCCTGTCTGTCCGCACTTGAACGCAGCATGTTTAACAATGACGGGGAGCGTGTTTAAGAGGAGCAGGACTACCCAAAATGTAGATTTTGAGCTTTCTGATTAGTTGGCAAATAAAGGGGGTGTGATTTCCTTATAACTTAGTGATTTTGGCGACAGTTATGCACCGACGTCTCCCTGCAGGCAGTGGCATGGAGGGGAAAGTGTGCTCTGCTGTCTGAGGTAAAGTAAACCACATGGTACTGTTCCAACAAGTCTGAAATTAAACACGTCAGTTGCATGAAAACAAAGTTGTTACAAGTGGTGTGTGGCTGTGATAATTACGTCGTAGCCAACCTGCAAGCCTCAGTTTATGCAGAGCCTCGGTAGCTAAGTTAGCTTACTCTGATATTAAGTCGACTGCAGGTCAAAACCACATGTGTGGCTGTTGTCATCCTAAAGTAGATATTTTTCTATAAAGTTCAGGTTTATTGTGAATTTGGAGGACAATGGAACCCAGCACTAAACCTTTGTCCTACGAGCTCCTGGTGGAAATTGGGAAAGGCTCCTACGGTAAAGTGTACAAAGCCAGAGAGATGGGGGAGAAACAGCGCCTCCTGGCGGTGAAGAAATTCAACACCCGCGTAGACACTTCAGAAACCGGAATCCCTGCCTTCATCATCCGAGAGGTGGCGCTGCTGTGTAAAATGAAATACTTCAACCATCCCAACATAGTCAAGTAAGCGAGAGTGGAGGAAATGTCAAGGGTGGTGGATAATTTGCTGGAGTGTGTGACTGTAGAAATACTCGTGGAAAAAAAGAAAAATGTTGTAATAAGCTGTATTTATAGAGCACCTGGAGCCAGCATAGAAAAATTTAATGACTGGATGGAAGAAAATTACTTGACAATAAGTCATAAATTAATGTTCATATGTGGGGACTTCAATATAGATTTGTTAAATCCTAACAAGCACACAGGAACTGAG